ACAGGTGCGTCGATGGTACACTGACCCATGAAACATTCACTGACCCACGAAACATTCACTGACCCACGAAACATTCACCGACCCACGAAACATTCACTGACCCACGAAACATTCACCGACCCACGAAACATTCACCGACCCACGAAACATTCACTGACCCATGAAACATTCACCGACCCATGAAACATTCACCGACCCACGAAACATTCACTGACCCACGAAACATTCACTGACCCACGAAACATTCACCGACCCACGAAACATTCACTGACCCACGAAACATTCACTGACCCATGAAACATTCACTGACCCACGAAACCTTCACTGACCCACGAAACATTCACCGACCCACGAAACATTCACCGACCCACGAAACATTCACTGACCCACGAAACATTCACCGACCCACGAAACATTCACCGACCCACGAAACCTTCACTGACCCACGAAACATTCACCGACCCACGAAACATTCACTGACCCATGAAACATTCACTGACCCACGAAACATTCACTGACCCACGAAACATTCACCGACCCACGAAACATTCACCGACCCATGAAACATTCACTGACCCACGAAACATTCACTGACCCACGAAACATTCACCGACCCATGAAACATTCACTGACCCACGAAACATTCACTGACCCACGAAACATTCACTGACCCACGAAACATTCACCGACCCACGAAACATTCACTGACCCACGAAACCTTCACTGACCCACGAAACATTCACCGACCCACGAAACATTCACTGACCCACGAAACATTCACTGACCCACGAAACATTCACTGACCCACGAAACATTCACTGACCCACGAAACCTTCACTCACGCTACATCATCCGACCGACGCATGAATGTCTGTCTAGGGTAATTGGAGTCAATTGTTGACGAAGCAAAAATTGCAAAGCCGATGCAATATCATTCACTGATATCTGGGGGCCCCTTCTACGGAGAGAATATATATATATATATATATATATATATATATATATATATATATATATATATATATATATATATATATATATATATATATATATATGTATATATTTACTCGGGATGGAAAGGTTGTCTGATAGAATCTGCTGGTGATGGAGTTAGTCTTGGTTTAAACTGTCAGATGGGAATGTGTATGTATATGTGAATGTGTATGTGAATGTGTATGTGTATGAAGTATGGGAATATACTTGGGGGAAAGAGACAAAAGGGGTGCTAATAGAACAAGCTATTCATACCGGCGCTGCATTTTCTATTATATTTATATAGCAGCTACCTTATCCTCTCAAAGTAGGAGAGACATAAATGTATGTGTGTGAGTGTATACACACTTACGCGTGGAGAGGAGGGGGGGGGAGGGTGACCTGCTGCATGGGTAACAGCTTCTCCTTATCGTCCTACCCAGGCTTTGTGCCCTGGAGAGGCCACTTCAGGCTCCACAACCCGAGCGCAGTTCCATAGTCTAGCGAGGCTGCAGGATGCCTACTACTATGTGTATACAGTGCTTGTGGAAGCTGGTCACAATTGCATTTCACCTTTGTAAACGCACATTAATGACATTATGTAAAAAGACACCTCGAACACTGTTTATGTAGGACAGACGTAAATCTGTGTATTTATGTATATTTGTCTGTAGGTTAGATTAACATTTTATAAGCACCACAATCACCTTCTGTGGTTGATTGTTCAATAAATCCCTGAACTATATGTTTAACAGATCTCTCACCCTGTCCATGGAGGACAGAAGAAAATGTATAGTCGCTGGTTAGCATTGTAAATGTCTGGCCACGTCTGTGGTACAAAATAATAATAATAATAATAATAATAATAATAAAAATTATACATGCATTCTTGTCTAGACTGAAAGTTGTCCTGTTACTCTCCATCTCTTAGTGACTGTTGCTATCTTATCCTGAGGTTATCTTGAGATGATTTCGTGGTTTTTTAGTGTCCCCGCGGCCCGGTCGTCGACCAGGCCTCCACCCCCAGGAAGCAGCCCGTGACAGCTGACTAACACCCAGGTACCTATTTTACTACTAGGTAACAGGGGCATAGGGTGTAAGAAACTCTGCCCATTGTTTCTCACCGGCGCCTGGGATCGAACCCAGGACCACAGGATCACAAGTCCAGCGTGCTGTCCGCTCGGCCGACCGGCACCCTCCAGAGCCGGTCTGGAGGGAGTCGGTCTGCTCATGTAATTCTTTACACAGACCGCGATGTTTCTGGATCACGTGATGTTATACCCCGTCACACTGTTACGTGACAGTGTGACGGGAGGGCTTACACTGTCACATAACCAACACATAAACAACAAAAACAGAAACCTTGCTCTCAGGTATTGATCCTAGAGCAACAATACATCAATACAGCATTACTCCGCGGGGCTGAAACCTTTACAAGTCCTCCATCCACCAACCCGTTCTCGCAAATTTAATAAGTCAATATTGACTTATTAGTTGCGTGCATAGGTGACATACTAAACATAATAGTTTCCCTTGAAAAGCTTCATAGAAAACACCGACCTTACCTAACCTACTTAGTATGTTAAAATAAGCATCTTATAGCTTCGTAATTACAATTGTTACTTAACCTATTATAGGTATAGGTTAGGTAATAATTGTAATTACGAAGCAATAAGATGCTTATCTTAACATACTAAGTAGGGTAGGTAAGGTCGGTGTTTTCTATGAAGCTTTTCAAGGGAAACTATTATGTTAAGTATGTCACCTATGCACATATTTAATAAGTCAATATTGACTTATTAAATTTGCGAGAACGGGTTGCCATCCACACATTCAAGTATTACAGAAGACGCTGTATCTCAATGTTAACCAATTGGTGACTAATATGGACTATCCAAACGTCATTCAATATACCAAAATTGGCTCGAATTGGTACCCAAACCGATGAGTTAATCTCATTCATCTCAGACTGGCTGGCCGAGGCACTTCATAATAATTATAATAACAATAATGATATCAAGTAATGATATCATGACTTCTCACAGACATAAGATAACAAACTTACTCTTGTGTAGTTGGGAAATTTATGTAAGGAATTTACAGCAAGTCTTCCGCACCCTCCTGAGTGCTTTGTCAAGGTCTGAGTGTGTGTGAGCAGGACCAGACTTACATCTCAACGGCTGATTCGTAAGACTTGGTGATAAGACTTGGTGATAAGACTTGGTGATAAGACTTGGTTATAAGACTTGGTGATAAGACTTGGTGATAAGACTTGGTGATAAGACTTGGTGTAAATTATTTATTGAGCTCCTTGAAACTTCAACTTCCGACGTCATTGTTGATGTTTGTAAGACAACCCCCGGTGGCGCTTCGGAGTAATAAAGATGTACAGGTTTCGCAAGTAGTCAGTAGTCACGTAAGTAGTCACGGAGAGTAGGGGGGGGGGGAGGCTGACAGGAGAGGATCCACGACAGGGGGTGGGGAAGGAGGGGGTGAATATTGCAGGGACAGGGAGGCGTAGACAGGCAGCCAATAATATTACTGTCAATCAAGAAGCGATATGTGGGTATCGGGGGATGTCTATGGCCCGTCACTCTCTCGTCACTCCGCGGAGGTGACGCAAGCTAGGGGGGGGGGGGGTATGGGGGGTTTAGTGGGGGGGGGAGGCATGACCCTCTCCCCTCACTGAGACAGTGAGGGGAGGCGGAACACTTCCGTTTCCCCCTTGTTGAGGCCCACGGACAGTACTAATGGTGTCAACGCCCCCCCCCCCCTCTCTCTCTAACGAGGGAGATCACCGCCCCCCCTCTAACGATGGAGGGATCACCGTCCCCCCCTCTAACGATGGAGGGATCACCGTCCCCCCCTCTAACGATGGAGGAATCACCGTCCCCCCCTCTAACGATGGAGGGGGTCACCACCCCCCCCTCTCTAACGAGGGGAAAGGGGTGGTGGTGGTAGAAGTGCTTCCGGAAATGATGGGAAGAAGTTCCCCTCAAGCGGGAAAAAAATATGAAACAGGCACTCCCAGCTGCCTCCTCTGTTCCAGGGAGTGGGAAGGGAGTACTCCTGGCTGCCGCCTTACTCCAATGTATTCATGCAAAACAGGTTGTGGGTGGAATAGGGGGGTGGGAAGGGGGGGGGGGTACTCGACGTTAATGGAGCTATCGGGTCCCTTTTTTGTGCCCATTCCTCACTCCTTCCTTCCTTCCCTTCACCTGTTTTCTCTGCCATTCCACACCCCATTGCCCGTACCTAATGGCATACTCAACAAGCCTTCCTGGCGGCCTGGCTACACTAAACAATTATAAACTGAAGATGCTCCAGGGTAGGACGATGAGGGAGAAGACACAGGGGGGAGAAGGAGAGAGAGAGAGAGAGAGAGAGAGAGAGAGAGAGAGAGAGAGAGAGAGAGAGAGAGAGAGAGAGAGAGAGAGAGAGAGAGAGAGAGAGAGAGAGAGAGAGAGAGAGAGAAAGAGAGAGAAAGAGAGAGAAAGAGAGAGAGAGAGAGAGAGAGAGAGAGAGAGAGAGAGAGAGAGAGAGAGAGAGAGAGAGAGAGAGAGAGAGAGAGAGAGAGAGAGAGAGAGAGAGAGAGAGAGAAGAGAGAGAGAGAAAGAGAGAGAAAAGAGAGAGAAAGAGAGAGAAAAGAGAGAGAAAGAGAGAGAAAGAGAGAGAAAGAGAGAGAAGAGAGAGAGAGAGAGAGAGAGAGAGAGAGAGAGAGAGAGAGAGAGAGAGAGAGAGAGAGAGAGAGAGAGAGAGAGAGAGAGAGAGAGAGAGAGAGAGAGAGAAGGGGAGGGCTAACACTTTCTTCCTTGTGTGCCCTGTGCCCAAACTACTTTATTCCCCCGTGGGCCCAAAGCACTTTATTCCCCCGTGGGGCACAAACCACTTCTGTAATACACAAATGGTGTCCTTTCCATCATGAGTCTCAAAGGTCAGAGGTTAAGGCGCACCCTCACAAGTTGGGTGACTTCCGCCCCTTTAAAAGGCCAAATCTCACCGGCTCTGCCACAGAGATCAAGTCCTACGGCTCCTCCATGACAGTAAGGCCGCTCTGGCTCTTTCACGAAGGTCAGACACTTTAGCACCTTCACGAAGGTCAGGCACTTTAGCACCTTCACGAAGGTCAGGCACTTCAGCACCTTCACGAAGGTCAGGCACTTCGGGGCCCCTTCCCTCCGCCTCGCTTGTGAAGCAGCAGGAGCCGTTAATGGGGTCTCCCATTACCTTCAAAGGGTCCCTTACCCCCACCTCTAATGGTACTTAATACGAATTCTAGGATAAAAGATTTCCCCCACCAGCATCTGGGGAGGTGAGGCCAATGGATTTAAGAGACTTTCTTCCTCTTAATTGACCTCCTAACAGTGAGTGAGTGTGACAGAACCTGAGCTCAGCCTTTGGCTTTACAACCACCCGAATGGTTGCAAGTACAGGGCACAGATCTCTGTGTCTCCTCCTGTAGGAGCATCAGTTTCGATAGATTCTCTGGATAGCTGAAGATTAAGTTCAGAATGAACTATGAAGTTCATTTATTTACGAAGAATTTATGAAGAAGATAGATGAAGATGAAGTTCCATCAAGTTAACATTACCTCATCAGTTTCTATCCAAGGTTAAATCTACTATTCTCAAATAACATTGTTTGACACTACTCCAGCCCGACCTTCTTACCGTTACTTGGATGATACAGTGACGACTTCGCTTCCTGCAGGTCGGAGTTCGATCCCCAAGGGTTCAAGTGGTTGGCCACCATTCCTTCACACCAGCCTCCTGTATCACCGAATCAGAAAATTTGTATCTATTAATATCCATGGGCCAGATTCACGAAGCAGTTACGGAAGCACTTACGAACGTGTACATCTTTCATCAATCTTTGACGGCTTTGGTTACGTTTATTAAACAGTTTACAAGCATGAAACGTTCCCAATCAACTGTTGTTATTGTTATAAACAGCCTCCTGGTGCTTCAGAGCTCATTAACTGTTTAATAATTGTAAACTAAGCTGCCAGAGATTGATAAAAGATGTACAGGTTCGTAAGTGCTTGCGTAACTGCTTCGTGAATCTGGCCCCATGTCTTTGGCTTAGTGGATAGTTGAAACCAATTTCACACTATTACATTATTCACAGATCTCTTCCTTTTATAACCTTTTATGAAGCTATAATATATATATATATATATATATATATATATATATATATATATATATATATATATATATATATATATATATATATATATATATATATATATGCGAACAAGCCTGAATGGTCCCCAGGACTATATGCGAATGAAAACTCACACCCCAGAAGTGACTCGAACCCATACTCCCAGAAGCAACGCAACTGGTAACTACAGGGCGCCTTAATCCGCTTGACCATCACGGCCGTCAAAAGGAAGTGATAGCCGAGGCTATTTGAGCCACTTCCCCGACGGCAACTCGGATGGTAATCTTGGGCATAGCATTTCACCAAATCACCTCATTCTTTGGGGCACACGTGAGGAACACAAATGCGAACAAGCCTGAATGGTCCCCAGGACTATATGCGAATGAAAACTCACACCCCAGAAGTGACTCGAACCCATACTCCCAGAAGCAACGCAACTGGTAACTACAGGGCGCCTTAATCCGCTTGACCATCACGGCCGTCAAAAGGAAGTGATAGCCGAGGCTATTTGAGCCACTTCCCCGACGGCAACTCGGATGGTAATCTTGGGCATAGCATTTCACCAAATCACCTCATTCTTTGGGGCACACGTGAGGAACACAAATGCGAACAAGCCTGAATGGTCCCCAGGACTATATGCGAATGAAAACTCATACATTTATATATATATATATATATATATATATATATATATATATATATATATATATATATATATATATATATATATTTAAAATTAGTCAACCCGGTGGTACTCGGAGCACCTCAGAGTTGTCTCTGTCCGAATGTATGTATTTTTCTGTCTTCCTGTTACTGTCTATCTTTCTACTGTCTGTCTCTCTCTTCCCCACCTTTCTCTCTCTCCCTTTCACTCTCCCTCTCTATCCCCCCCCCGTTACAAAATTACTAATAACACAATAAGAGTATCAGCATGTCTTTACAATTACTGATAAATACAAAGAATCTGTGGGAGGTTGGTGGGTCGGCGGTGTTGAAGGGACGTGGGTTATAGTGCTACGGCCAAAGTATGAATAGCAAGAAATTCGTGTTAATATTCCCGACATCAGTCAATAATGTAATATATATTATTACAATCAAATAATTGGCAGTCAGTACGAAAAAATCGTCATGGGAACCAGTATGTGACCGTGGCACGCTGTTCCCTCTTAAATACCGACCATGTTAGGCACATACCCCATTGCAGTCAGGGTGCAAATTTTGGCAAGGCGTCTGGCGTCCCCCCCCCCTTCCCCCCCAGCGTCTGGCCTCGAATCTCAGACAGACAGACGGGCAGACAAATAGACATTTGTAACTACAGATATTGACAGATATAAAAGTACAGTGGGTGAGGAAGTACAGATTTTGGTGATTAAATGGAAGTTTATTGCAGAGCCGCTAACACTCACGGCGTTTATCTCTGTACTGGAGGAAGAGAACAATCCAATTATCTGTCTATTGATGAAAGTGGTCCATCTGTTTTCAGACGGCAGAGAAATATCCATGTACCTGTCTACAGACGGTAGAGAGTCATCCACGTATCTGTATACAGGCGTTGGAGAACCATCCATGTATCTGTCTACACACGACAGATACATGGATAGACAGATAGGATGGATAGATACAGATAGCCACCCGTTTATCTATCGAGAGACGATAGAAAGTTATCATACAGCTGTCTATCGTCTGTAGCTGTATATGTAGCTATCTACAGCTTCAGACAGATAGCTGTAAACAGCTATGTATACAGATGATAGACAGCCATATACTTCACTGCCTAGAGAGACGGTAGAGGACCATCCTTGTATATATCTCCAGATTTAAGATAACCATATGTCTAAAACTTGTCAATTCCTCTTTAGTGTTTCCTGCGCTACGTCAAGGAGCTAATAGACCGCTAATAAGCTTATCAGGGGCTAAAAATAATGCTCAACTAATCCCTTCGAAACATATATTATTCAGTGATTGGCTATTCCTTTCCGGGAGTGGGGGGGGGGTGTTATTTCCTCTCACTCAGGGCTGTTACAGCCCAGCTCTCTGAGTGGCCAGTAAGCCCAGCTCCCTGAGTGAACAGCAAGCCCAGCTCCCTGAGTGAACAGCAAGCCCAGCTCCCTGAGTGAACAGCAAGCCCAGCTCCCTGAGTGATCAGTAAGCCCAGCTCCCTGAGTGGCCAGTAAGCCCAGCTCCCTGAGTGAACAGCAAGCCCAGTTCTCTGAGTGGCCAGTAAGCCCAGCTCCCTGAGTGGCCAGCAAGCCCAGCTCCCTGAGTGGCCAGCAAGCCCACCTCCCTGAGTGGCCAGTAAGCCCAGCTCCCTGAGTGGCCAGCAAGCCCAGCTCCCTGAGTGGCCAGCAAGCTCAGCTCCCTGAGTGGCCAGCAAGCTCAGCTCCCTGAGTGGCCAGTAAGCCCAGCTCCCTGAGTGGCCAGCTATCCCAGCTCTCTGAGTGGCCAGCAAGCCCAGCTCCCTGAGTGGCCAGCAAGCCCAGTTCTCTGAGTGGCCAGTAAGCCCAGCTCCCTGAGTGGCCAGCAAACCCAGCTCCCTGAGTGATCAGTAAGCCCAGCTCCCTGAGTGGCCAGTAAGCCCAGCTCCCTGAGTGGCCAGCTATCCCAGCTCTCTGAGTGGCCAGCAAGCCCAGCTCCCTGAGTGGCCAGCAAGCCCAGCTCCCTGAGTGATCAGCAAGCCCAGCTCCCTGAGTGATCAGCAAGCCCAGCTCCCTGAGTGATCAGCAAGCCCAGCTCCCTGAGTGATCAGCAAGCCCAGCTCCCTGAGTGGCCAGCAAGCCCAGCTCCCTGAGTGTTCAGCAAGCCCAGCTCCCTGAGTGATCAGCAAGCCCAGCTCCCTGAGTGGCCAGTAAGCCCAGCTCCCTGAGTGGCCAGTAAGCCCAGCTCCCTGAGTGGTCAGCAAGCACAGCTCCCTGAGTGGCCAGCAAGCCCAGCTCCCTCAGTGGCCAGTAAGCCCAGCTCCCTGAGTGGCCAGCATGCCCAGCTCTCTGAGTGGCCAGCAAGCCCAGCCCTCTGAGTGGCCAGTAAGCCCAGCTCCCTGAGTGGCCAGCAAGCCCAGCTCCCTGAGTGGCCAGCAAGCCCAGCTCCCTGAGTGGCCAGCAAGCCCAGCTCCCTGAGTGGCCAGCAAGCCCAGCTCCCTGAGTGGCCAGCAAGCCCAGCTCCCTGAGTGGCCAGCAAGCCCAGCTCCCTGAGTGGCCAGCAAGCCCAGCTCCCTGAGTGGCCAGCAAGCCCAGCTCCCTGAGTGGCCAGCAAGCCCAGCTCTCTGAGTGGCCAATATTATCAAACTTCACCTAAAAATCTGACCAGTGCAACTACTTTGGATCCTGATTAAGCTTTCCAGGGCAAAAAGTTGCACTTTTTTGCAATTAGGCTCGTTAGTGGCGTCACGAGGCAATTAGGAGAAGCAGAGAGTTTTAGAATGTTGGCGTAATCCGAGCTCAAAACTGCTCAAGCTTTCTCCCTCCTTCCATCTACCTCACTTGTAGACGAGACACTGTCAAACGCTCTACAGCTTAAGAAGCTTTGCCTCTACTTTACCTTCTCTAGAGTCTCTTGTGATAATATGAAGCCTGGAGCTCTTGTGATGTTCCCTCAGCTCCTTAGTACACATGAGAGAGGAGGGTCGTGGTTCCTCATCTTCAATGATATAAACAAAATATTGTTTAAAGCCACAATGGACGAAAAAGGAAAGAAAATGTTGTTGAGCACATTTTTAACAAAAGTGGTGACGACGAACTTTGGGAAAAAAGGCACTCCACTAGGTAGAAACATGATGGTGAAGTGTATGAATATTATAGTGTGAATAATACAGTATGAATATGAATTATGTGAATATTATATTATGAATATGAATTGTGTGAATTGTACGAGTATGTGTCAACAAAGTACAAAGGTGATCTTAAGGATTACAATCCACCAGACATGTTCGCAACAGGAAAGCACTTGCCAGTAGAAGAAGGGAAATTTAAAGAGGCATTCTTGAAGGATAAGAGTAACATAATGTATTCCGTGATCACGTCTTAATACTGAAGCAAGAAAATGATTGCTTCTTACTCGAGCAA